GGACATTCCTAAATTGTGAGCTAATGGGGATGGAGGGAGGAGTTGGGTCTCATTGATCACCGGTTTCTTACCTGAGGTCACAGAATGCATCCATGTATGTCAATGACTGATTGATTAGATCAATTCCAGTCAATGAGAAGGATGAGAGGACCTTTGATGCATGATTGATGAACATACCTTTACCAAGATGGTCACTACCAAAGCTGAAGAAACCTCCAAAGTCACTAATACCTGAGATGAGTTCTAGTCCTTCCCTACTCTATTCAAAGAGTAGTGGGTATAGATACAGTTTAAAGAGGACCTTTTATTTCATTCAAGGTCCACTTATTTACTGTGGCTCCACTGTGGCTCCCCCCCCCCCTTCATTAAATGCTGAATTAATGTACCTGTTGGGAAAAAAATAGATCACATACTCACCTTTCCCCAACTTCCGTAGTGCAGAGGGTGACGTCATTCTCCTGCCAGGAATGTTGAGTAGGCCAAACCTCACCAGAAGATAAGGCAGCATGGTGGACTGTCTTTTGGTGAGATATGGGCTACTCAACGTTCGCCGAGATCTAGCCTAAAAGAAGGTGACATCACCCTCCTGTAAGGGCCGTGGGAGGAAGGTAAGTATATTATCTATTCCCCCGCACATTTTTTGAACTTTAATCCCGAGCTTGGGGGCTGGGGGAAGCTTGGTCACTGAGGAGAAAGGTCCACTTTAAGGATGTGCTAAAGTCAGACTGTAAAAGATTTAGTATGGGAATACATTGAGTAGAACATGTGGCGTCGACATATAAAGACATATAAAGGGTCAAAGAATTTGTTTTGTTTCGTTTTGGATCAATTTTTTTTTCTTTCGGATTTTGGATTCAAATTTGATTCGGTTTGCGATTTGGAATTCGGATCAATTCAAATTTTTCGGTTTTGGTTCAGATCAATTCAAATCTATTTGGATGGAGTTTATGATGTTGTGAAATGTGAAAATTGAAAGAAAAAACCCAGCAAATTCCCACCAGAACCTTTAGGTCTGGACCCCATGGCAAAAAACAAAAAAAGAGTGTGGGGTGCCATCCAAAATCCCCTGCCAGACCCTAGATGCGAGCAGCAGGAAAGGGGGGGGGGCAATCGTGTGCCCCCCCCCGCACCATACCAGGCCACTTGCCCTCAACATGGGGCAGGGTCCAGTGGCGTCACAAAGGGGGGTGCGGCCCGCACTTGGGTGACACCATTGGAGGGGTGACACCAAAATGACTGACAATCATTTTGGTGTCACCCCCTCTGAAAAGTCCGGCACTCGGTCATGGGCCGAGAGCCCGACAGTTTCAGGAGAGAGGGATAAGGTATGCCGCCGGGTGAACGTCCCATTCTCTCTCTGCCGGCGTCCATCCCCAAGATGACCGCTGGCAGGTATCGATAGGATGGCCGCACATGCGTGATGTCGTCATGGCGGGGTGTCACCTGGTATCCGCTCCGGTTGACGCCCGGCCTCGGGACGCCCCTGGCAGGGTGCCCATGTTGATGAAGACAAGGGCCTCTTCCCCACAACCCTGGTGGTTTTTGGGGTCAGTGGGCCGGAGGGCTTATCTGAATTTGGGTGCCCCCCTGTGATTGAGTATGGGGTAGAATTCTCAAAGTCTCTGACTGGTCTAATTAAACTATTCATAAAGAATTTATGAAAGCACCATCTCTTCCTATTCGCATCCACAGGAAGTGTCACAGCAAGGTGTAGATATTGGGAAACTGCGCAGTACAGGATGACTGGCAAGAGGCTGCAGTCCCACATGGACACATTCATAAAGTCCTACTAGTTCTACCTTTGGGAACATTTGGGAGTTATAGTAAACTGAATGAAGTTTTCCACTCCAGCACATCTGCAATATATCCTTAATTAGACGCGTACTGAGTCTCTTCCCATCGCGCTTGGAGTTAGTCTTTATCTCGCAACATCTGGGTGACACTTTTGTCCACATCATCGCAGAACGCAAAGCATCAGACACGCACTGAAGTCTTTTTTACTCCAATGACATATGGAGGCAAGAGCGCTGTAAATTTCGAGGAAATTCCGAGAATGTCTAAATGTACATGTCTAAGTTAGGAAATTCCGAGAATACCATGATATGAATGAGAACGTCAAAAGGAGATACAGATCACGCCCAGTGCTTGGCTGTAAGGATGATGAGTTGCGGATGATTGACACGGCTGGAGGCAGTGAGTGAGGCACCCATCACAGAGCCCACTTAATACTCGGTTTAGCCTTCGTAGCTTACTAATGTTTTTCCAGTCTTTGTATCACATGTGAGGTCCGAGCGAGTCAGAAGTAATTATCCTGAGACTGCCAAGCCTCTGCTCTCATAAAAACATTTCCTTATTCCAGTTGTCTGTGTGTCTGACCTGCAGTCAGGACCCCATGACAAATATTTGTATAATACTTGGCTGAAGAATGCTGATGTACGGTAGCCGAGTTCTGTCTCCTTAAAGCTGAAGCTTAATCTGTTTATATTTGCCTTCCCTGCTTCTTCCTCTGCCCCTCCTCCTCCTCCTCCTCAACATGCTATTAAATAAAACCTTTCCTTTTTCATTGCATATATTATGTTATAATCCCAGTATGGGATGCAGGCAGATGCATGGCTGGCGGGAGGGGCTGGCAGGGTGCTGTACATAGCTTACTGAAACAATCACAGCACCCTGCCGCAGTGCTCCTCTTAAGAGCCCTCAGTCCTCATGCAAGCAGTGGGCCGGCTCTTGGGAGGAGTTATGCAGATATTAAAAAGTGCTGATCAGTGTGTGCCAGTCTGGAGGAGCGGCCTTTCCTCGGCAGAATGCAGCTGCATGGAGACCTTCCCAGGTATGGTAATGCAAGCAGAGGGCTTGCTTTTGGGAGGAGTTATGAAATATCAAGATACATTGATGGGTGGGTGTCAGTCTGGAGAAGTGGGTGTTACAAGGCAGGCAACTTTGCCTCTGTAGGAGTTTCCTGTAATAAAGACCGCTCACTGCTGCTCTCTCTCCTTGTGCAGTGTGACTGGTCTTGTTTCCACCCCCTCGTGTAATAAAGACTGGTCACTGCTGCTGTCTCTCCTTGTACAGGGTGACTGGTCTGGTCTCTGCCCCCTCCTGTAATAAAGACCGGTCACTGCTGCTCTCCCTCCTTGTGCAGAGTGACTGGTCCTGTCTCCGTCTCCTCCTGTAGTTTCTGCAGGCAGCCTGTAGTGGGCGGGGCCTATTTGGTCCCTCCCACAGCTCTGCTGTCTGCTCAGGCTATGTATAGCACAGTGATGATGTCACTTCTTCTTTTACAAGGCTTGCTCGTTGGCCTCATTTTGATATTTTATGGGCAGCCCAGTCATCTGGTGATTTATTATACATGGATTTTATATGTTCCTCTGGTTCCATTTTCCACTCAGAATCCCAAAACACACTGGTAGGTTGTCTGGGTTGGAGCCAAGTTGTTCCCTGTGTGTGAGTTCTGCAGGAATATTGGACTACAAGCTGCTCCGGGCTCAGGGACTCAAGTGTCTTACTTCATATGGGATACGTAAAATAATACATTTGGTCATTTTAATTCTGTTACAGTTCAGTCGTTTGGTTGAACGTTGTTGCAGATTTGTTTCCGTTCTCTGTTCTGTAGGAAGTGATGTTTCCTTCACCGTGTCCTGGCTTAACGTAGAACTGAAGAGAAAACCTTTTGGGATAGTAAGGGAGGCTTGTGACTCATGTCAGCTTTTTGCCATCTGTGTCCCATTGGAGAAATTTCCCTTCACTTCCTGTTTGAAAACCACAACAGGAAGTAAGAGAAACTCCTTCTGCAGTGAGGGAAATCCCTGGTGGTCAGCAGGGTAATCAGAACTAGTGTGCCCAATGGGGTACAGTCATCATGTTTTGGAACAGTTGCTTCCAACTCTCTCAGCTCGGCTTCCCTCAACTTCCTGTCCAGTAGACGATTACAAGGGACAGAGCTGCCTGCAGCAGCCTGGTGAAGGGAGGAGGATTAGGGGAGCAGGAGAGTAACTTTCCTTGGTGAGCCTGTGTTTTTGTGGAGATATACACACAGGGGCGTAACTAGAAATCACAGGGCCCCATAGAAAAATTTTGTATGGGGCCCTGTGATTTCTAGTAATGCCCCTTGCAGAGCCCACCTGACATCCCACACAGCCCACCTGAGAGTGACCCTGCAGGGCCCACCATAGACTCTCCATTGGTCACACCCCTGCACACCTCTTACCTCTCAGCCCCGATCCACTGTCAGCCTTCTCCACCGCCGGGCCCCGCCTGCTCCTCAGTCACCGGTGGGCCCTGCCTCCTCCACCGCTGCTGGGCCCAGCCTCCACCTCCGCAAGCTGCTGGTTGTCACTGACTCAGGAGCGGCTGTGGGGAGGACAGAGACAGCGGCGTGTTCCTCCTCACAGCTGCCAGTGACAGCCAGCAGCCTGAGATGCCATACGACCCAGGCGGCCTGCACGGCATCAGGGGGACCCCTTTGTTCCTCGTCCTGGCCGGGCCCCCCTGTGCGGTCGCCTGGGACGCTATGGCGATAGCTCTGCCACTGCACACACATCTTACTAGCACACACAAGGGTGGTTCCATAGGACCCTGCAAGGGAAAGGGGCCACCCTAAAACAGAAACATAGGGCCAGTGCTCAGGGGACCAGCTGATTCTACAGGAAACTAAAACTGTTAAACATCAAGAAGCAGCGTCCATTGTAAGTGATTTCATCAGCATTTATAAAAACTTAAAAGCATTTTGACTTTAATATCACTTTATTTTGTGTCTTTTATATCTACCCAGAGTTCAGCTTTAACATTTTACCAATACAAACCTTTGTTTTTTATGTTGGTGTTGAAGCTGTTCTGTGCAGGAACATGTCATAGAGGCTTTTCTATCATCGGTTATATAAGATCAAATAATATTGACACGTTCTCCAATCACTTTTTTTGATAATTTATAATATTATTGTCCAAAGAATAATAATAATAATATTTTAAAAAAATGTATAATAATGTGTTTTCTCCTGCAGGTCTAGAAGATGATAGGGTCACCCGCCCTGTTTGTGGCGCTGCAAGCATTAATATTTTTCCCCAGAAGGTCGGCACAGCAAGGTAAGCAGGAGTACATCTGGCCGCTAAAATAAGACATTTCTAAAAAATAAGATGTCCAGAAAGGAAGGGAAATGGAAAATAAATGGGAGGGAAATGGAAAGGAAATTGACAAGAAATGGAAGGGAAATGGAAAGGAAATGAAAAGGAAATGGAAGGGAAATGGAAAGGAAAATTAAATGGAAAGGAAATGGAAAGGAAATGGAAGGGAAATGGAAAGGAAAGGAAAATTAAATGGAAAGGAAAATGAAATGGAAAGGAAAGGAAAATTAAATGGAAAGGAAAATGAAATGGAAAGGAAATGGAAGGGAAAAGGAAAGGAAATGGAAAGGAAAATGAAATGGAAAGGAAATGGAAGGGAAAAGGAAAGGAAATGGAAAGGAAAATGAAATGGAAAGGAAATTGAAGGGAAAAGGAAAGGAAATGGAAGGAAAATGAAAAGGAAATGGAAGGGAAATGGAAAGGAAAAGGAAAGGAAATGGAAGGGAAATGGAAAGGAAAAGGAAAGGAAATGGAAGGGAAATGGAAAGGAAATGGAAAGAAAATGTACAATAACACTGACATATGAACATTTGCTCTGAGGTAAAAAGGTTCTGCAGCTTATACTTTGTAACCAGCAGGAAGCTCGGCCCTTGCTTTGGCTAATTTGGACATATTTATTGGCCCTAGTTTTCAAGGGCTTAAAGTCCAACTGAACCTCCAGGTTTGGGGCTCATTCACATTGAGAGCAGAGGTCCATGTACCATAAAAAACAACCAGACCTCTGCACCCGGGAGCATACAACCCCCCCCA